GTGATGATGTCTGTCTGCTAACTTGCATGACGTTGAAGCTCCACAAATTTTCACCAAAACCGAAGAAGGCCATCTTGGGGACTGGCGGTCCAGTAAATCCAAATCCCGGCACACCTCGGGGAAACAAGTCATTGTCTTCTCGTGGGTTTTTTCAACAATTCTTCCCGTTTTTGCACACAGTCCTTCGGAATGCTAGTCGTTGATATGCCATGCGACACCTTGAAGACCAGTTTTTCAGCATATATAAAAAACTCAAATACTTAGATTCTACCAGTCGATTTTCAATTAATTAGTTAGTTGCTTATCAGGTTAGTCTAAATGTGTTTATGTGGAAACACTGGGTTTCGAAGAATCCCTTAATATATTGCTGTTAGAGTACCTTTCATTTCGTTTGAAGATGCGAGTGGAAGGGATTCATAAGTTGTTTCTACCGGAAGCTGTAGGGGAATTGTCTTGGAGCCTCTGGTGGAACCAACTTAAGAATTCCTTCCACTCGCATCTTCAAACGAAATGAAAGTTATTCCAACACTAATACTTGTATGTTCGTGTGTGTATTGATGGGGGTGTACGTGTGTAAGTCAGGTCACCAAACAATCTGTTAAAACTCTAAATAATTGTCGCAGAGAATAATATCTATGACGGATCATCTTAGACTAATGATAGAAAAATGCCTGAGACCATGTATTCCCGAAAGGGCTCCTATTTGAGTTGAAAAGCTAAACAGATTCTTACTTCTATTGCAAATATAATAAGGAATCTTACTGATCCCACTAGTTGATTCACATACTTTTGTAGCCTGTTCTCTCCCTCATTGAAGCTATTCATCAATCATTACGTCCATTTCTTACATCTATCTAGCGCATAAGAGAATGAAGTTGCAATAAAAACAATGATGCATTGTCACGCCTCTGTGGCTTAACACCACTCCTGCTCTATTCTTAAAAAATGTAATGTATCCTTTGACATGTATTAGAGTCTCTCAGTTGCTCACATGAATCCAGTCTAGTCAGTTTTGTCTTACTACATGCTTTTACGATGCGAAATTTGTGTATTTATCTCTTACGCCTTAGTTTCAACTGCGAACATGACTCACCCTAAATTTACTTACATGATGTTATGATCTCTCTCTCTCGCTTTATCTGACTATCTCTTTGTCTAAGTGTGTTGCCTCAGCTACCTTTTCAGCCTGACAATGCTTCACATTGGTGTCAAGGCAGATTCACAAATGTGCCCACACAATCTCGTGGCAGGAGTGACGTGTATGCTTGCCCTGACGGGTCAGGGCAAATCGCATCGTCTGCTTTAGTCTCTATCACAGTCTTGTGTTTAGGCTATAAACGCCACGACCACCACCATACTGTAAAATTCGATGAGGCCGAGAGTCTGTCTTCACAGCCTTGTGTCATGACACGATTTGTCGTGCTTGTAGACGTGCCGTCTTGAGACAAGTGCTCGGGATTTTGACGAGTTGGGCTCGAGTTGATGACTCGATGACTCATTGACTGGCGCAACTGATCCCGCAATGTCGTGTCTTGACGTTTTAGCCAGCCACCACGGCCACAGTGTTGTCTTGTCTGAAACTGGGTCATTTGCCTATTGGACCGGTGAGATGGGGTCCGGCGCTCGAGGTGAGTGCCCGGTGCATTCGCTTCAGGCGCTCCGTCGGTCGGCTCTGTCACGCCTCCACCGGGCCTACACAACTCAGTTTTCCGACTGCATCGCTATTGGTGGTTTTTTTTCCTCTCTGCCGCAGCCTTTCAGCCCTCCTCCAACCACCAGTTGAACGCGTGCCGAGCCTATCCCATCTATTAATTTGACACAAAATAAACACATACACTTTCAATCACATTCTCCCCTGTCGTTGCACGCTTACATTTATCCCTTTACCCCTTGTCTGGACAGTCGTACAGACGCACTGCGGGGAGCACATACACACCCACAAACAGATGCACTAGTGCACCAACAAATAGACGATCAATTGGTTGTCTGTATGCATTCGCGATAATGTGTATGTGCCCATGTTGAGTGAATTTAGTTGTTGGCCTGTGTCGCGATCACGAGAGGGACAAGGCCAAAAAGGAGAGCTACATTTGTCTGCGTAATTTTTTCCACTTCCCACTTCCGAATGTTGGGCCGAGGCCGATCGGGTCATCGGACAGGGCGACGAAGGCACAAAGACAGATTGTACGAGTCATGCGGACCTTTTTAACTGTTGCCGGCCGGTCTCGAGGGCGATTAGATGAGACGAGAACAGACGAGAACAGACGAGAGCAGACGAAACGTGATGAGATGAGGCGGAGACACAGACACAGACATGGACAGAATGACACCGAGACGCACAAGAGTGGAGGGAGGGCACGAGTCAACTTAGGGCTCTTGCCCGATCCTAGCCCCAGAATTAATAGGCCGTCACTTTCATCCTGTCCTAAGTCTGTCTACTCGCTGGTTGGGCCTCGATTTTGGCCCTTCTGATTGTACCATGCCTGCCATGCCTTATCGGCCTGTCCTCCAGTTTATAGCACAACGCTTTGGCGACACCGCTTACTTTTGCACTTCTGACGCAGAAAAAAGAGTAAACACAATTCATCAACACGATCATGTTATGGTTGTTTCAATTTCTCGTATCTGGGCCTAATTTCAGTAAAGGAACGGGGGGATTGATGTGTCCAACAGGGCCTCGGATACATCCGGGCTCGTCTCCTGAAGCCTCCTGTATAGTAGGTGCATTGATAGCATTTTTTCACGCACCGCCATACCACTGTCCGGTTGCTAGACTCTGGTTAGGAGATACCACCCCAGAGACTGTAATTAAGTCATCCTAATCTTCAGCTCGGACGAGACGCGAACACGCTTGGATACGAGACTCCGCCTGCCATACTACTCATGCAGTCTCTTGATGAAATTCGATGCCGCGAAGCTGAGTTGCCAAGACTCTCTTAATAACTTTCATTTTCAAAACGTTTATTTAGAACTCTTATTCAATATCTACTTATAGTCATTCCACCTACTTACTATGCGTACAAATAGTGTTGTATATCTTGCTAGCAAAATACAAGTTTTCGTGTAAAGTAGCTGCCGAATTGCCTGTAGATCTTGTATAAGAGCTGTGATTGCTCTATTTTAATTTTCCCACAATGATATGGACAGGCCTCACCTTTCCATTAAGTTTCATTGATTTTCCCACAATACACCCACAGTGAGATTCGATAACGGATGGGTGCCTTTGCCATTGCAGGAGCGACACCGGGAGACGCATGAGTTGATTTAGGGCTCTTGTCTGCTCCTAGGCCGCTACTTTGATCCCATACCATATCCCACTCAACATCGCTCTATGGGGGCCAAGGGAAACAGTGCAAATGCGGCTAAGCTAAACCTCTTTCGATTCTCTAATTACCGATAAACTGGAAAAAAATTTCAAAAATATGTAATACCATTGATTGCTATGGCAAACGGGTGTTTGCTTAAAATGGACAATCTCACTATAAATATGCGTTGAAAGAGGCCTCAATTTCCTTGGATGTCGTATCTGCCCTCTGACCTATTTACACAAGTGGTTTTGTAGTGGATTGGTGTGGTAGCATAGCAATGCTATTCACGATTCGAAATCAAATTCGACTCAGTGTATATAGGCGCCGTCAAAACTGCCAAGCACTCAGGATGAGACTAACTTTTGGAACATATATATATACTTATAACCCAAAACGAAAATGAACAAGCATATATACATATAGGATGGTTTGGCTAATTATCTTTCATACTACTCCTGCTCCTTTTGCTCTTGCGTCTGTGCGTATGTGCACGTGTATGTGTGCGTGTATGTGCTGGTGTCTATACTCAATACTGGTCTAAGTGATAAAAAAGGCAAATGTCAGGCTAACTGACCCAAGAAAAAGCCCTGACCGAGACTGAATAAGTCCGTTTCTGGATATTTCAAACTCAATATCGAAACTGTTATGAAAATCGGAAAAGTTGGAGAAGAGGTAGTCATGGCTAGGTCAAGTTATGTAGAAAAGATGCTGGCAAGTATGGGTCTTTATTAAGAGATCCAACAGAAAGACTTAAGGCTAGGTTGAAGGATGTCTTTAAGGTATACGTTACTAATGGTGAAATGGAGAAGTGGAAAATGAATTCCATACTCCAGAGGAATGCAACGGACCCCATGGCTTACGGCCTCCCTAAGGTTCGCAAATAGGATGTCCCTCTTAGAGTAATAGCAAATACAAATGGAAGCGGATTTTGGGCTATATTCAGTTAAAATACTTTCAGAGGAGGATAGGTTAGTAAGTTTAGACGTTGTGTCTA